ACAATAACAGTTACTACCCGTTCGCGCTAAGTTTGCCGGTCTGTGGAATGCGCGTCCCCTCCCCCAACCGCGATTAAACGCAATTAGTTAGTGATTAAACGCAATTAAGTGTCTTATTTTACGCAAATACACAATTTTTATCAATATTAATAAATAAAAAATATATTCAACTAGCTGACCCGGCGAACTTCGTACCGCCTTAGCGTAGAGATTTTCTTAATATTTTTTTCCGTAAGAACCATCCTTGGACTTCCACAAACATTAAAAAAAAAGAATTATCGAAATCGGTTCAGCCGTTCACACGTGATGCCGTGACAACGCGAAACGGGTTTCATTTTTATATATATAGATATAGTTTGCTATAGTTATAGACGCTTTCCTTCGAGTGACGTCATATCGCCAGCGGCAAACTTATTGCGAACGGATAGGATTTGCAAAAGAAATAGAGGAGAGAGAGGGACAGAGAGGAAGAGAAAGGGAGAGAGGGGAAGAGAAAGAGAAAGGGAGAGAGAAGGAGTGAGAGGGGGATAAGGGTTGGAAGGGAGAGAGGATTGGGATGATAGAGGGGGAGGGAGATAGAGAGTGAGGGAGAGAGAGGGAGATAGGGAGAGAGTGAGGGAGATATGGAGAGAGTGAGGTTTTGTTCCTTACTCGCCGTGTGACAGAGGCCGCTTGGGTTTCGGCGCGGGTGCCGCGATGTTGTCGGTGCTGGAGCTATTGCTGGCTGGCGGCACGACGCTCAGCCGCGGCAGCGAGTGCGGCGGGTGCGGGTGTTCTCTAAAAATAACAGTAACAACTGTTGTTAAAGAAAAAATATTCTTACCATATAAACTTCTTACCATGTTTTCTAAAAAAGTTATTTTAAACATTTTTTAATTCCTAATTTACCTACTGGTTATGCAATTAAAGTTCAACTCGGCAGTAGATTAAAATCTATAGGACACATTTGATTAAAATTGAATTATTGACAGAACCCTCTTTTTTCGTTACAGAAACTTAATAAAAATACTATTATTATATATAATTATATTGTGGAACGAGATCGTCGGTCCACCTAGTAGGAGGCCTGCCCACGCTACGTCTTCCAGCCCGTGGTCGCCACTCGAGAACTTTTCTGCCCCAACGGCCATCGTCTCTACGAGCTATGTGCCCCGCCCACTGCCACTTGGTTTTAGCAATTCTGCGAGCTATGTCGGTCACTTTGGTTCTCCTGCGGATCTCCTCATTTCTGATTCGATCACGCAGGGAAACTCCAAGCATGGCCCGCTCCCGTAAAGGTCGCGGGAAGAGCCTGGATGCGGGCAGCGCAGGACCGTGCATTGTGGAAAACCTTGGAGGAGGCCTTTGTCCAGCAGTGGACGTCATTTGGCTGAAACGAACGAACGAATATTGTGGAAAACCTTGGGGGAGGCCTTTGTCCAGCAGTGGACGTCATTTGGCTGAAACGAACGAACGAACGAATAAAAATACAATTGTTGTTCAATAAACATTTTTACTACATATTAATGAATAACCAATAAAATATGGTCTATGTAACTATGGTTCTTATTATAATTACATATTATTCTAAGAAAATGGTTACCAATTCATGTTAAATATTAACGAAGACATTGTTTCAGTTACTATTTAATAAAGCACAATGTAGTACAACAAAACGTTTCTTCGTTAACGGCGTTATAAATGAATCGCTAAAAGTGAATTTTAGGCGAGCGGATTTATTCATGGGTAAACGGGTGTCGATAATGTTACGTCGGAGTTGTTTTGTTTGCAGCGCTTATAGACTAATAGTGCGATTTAATGAAGCGTCTGCGCGACTCACCTTTCATCCTCAGGCACTGCAAGCAGCGGTTCCGATCGCTCCCGCCTCTCTTTTGCCGCATTCATATTAGATTTCTCTTTATTTTTCATCACCGATCCACCGTTCGAAAATAATCCTTGAAATACTCATCGGCGCTTTAAACTGGCCAGTATTAAACCGATAATTTGTTTTTTAAATATGTACAAAAAATAACCGCTGTAGTCAATACTTGAGCAGCGCGTTCTAGACTGTAGCCATACGTCTCGAATGTGTTAGCGGGTACAGTGAGTAATACATGTGTGTTAATAATTAGTGGTGGTACGCGACATATTAATACTAATAGGCCGTATTATATGTTACAGATTTGATTTGAGTAGGTACACAATAATGCTTTTGCCTTTAACTGAACTTCCACTTTAAACGTCTTAAATGCATGTCATGCATGCATACATGCCATGGTAAGCAGTTATGTTGCCGGTTGCAATACTTAATGGAAAATTTGAATTACATAACTTATCGATGACTATCAATTCTTTATCAGATGGAAGAAGATTTAATCTGTTCAATAAAGCTCCTGTTCTCGGTGCCTATACCTGATATACCTAGTCAGCACGTGTCGTACGTGATGTGACTGCTGACTTAGTGACGTGATGGAAATGACCAGTTATGACATCACTATGAGGCTTATGTTATTTGTAAAAGTGTTGTGAAATAGTTATTTCGAAATTATTATTGAAATACATATGTGGTGCTTTTTCAATTGTTTTAGGCAAGTATTCAACCTGAAAGAGTTTTTTCAAGCAAGTGCGTTTTTCTTATTTTTTGATACGCAAGAAACAGATTGCAACAATTCATTCAGGTGCTGCATATTTATTGCTGAGCTGTAGGAGACCGAGATGTTGTCCTCACGGGTAATTAGCGGCGCGGTGTCACTTTCAGACGCCCCCACTAACGAGCCACATGCGCCCCCTTTTCGCCCCAGCTCTAGCCTTGCATACACCCCACTTCTTATCTCTTAGCATACGATTAATTAGATGTCGAAGCGATGCTTTGGTTGGCACTCTAATTTTTAAACCTTTTTAATTTTAAAGCCAGAGTTTGATCTCGGCTAATCTTAATCTATGGAATTAGTTTTTTTACAAAACATAGAAAATGAAGTAATAGTAGATACCCAATAAATCTATTTTTATTTGAGATTGAAATAAAAAGAGCATCTTTATATCGTGGCTACCTCAAGTGGTCCAGAAGTCCTTAGTCCAAAAGAGAATTAAAAATAGCATAGTTACTCACCTGTTATGTCTAATTTTGCGTTCCAAACTAGTGCTAGTCTGCCGATGCGGGTGATAGTGGTGGAGGCCATGTTCATAGTGTTCCGTGTTCGCGGGGTGTCTGCTTCTTTGTTCGCCATGCCTAGATTAATATTATTAGTTAGAGTAAATCAACTCCGACAGAATAGTCTTTTTATTCATTGTAAAGGTTGCATTTTTACCTAGTCCAAAAATTTTCCTAATTAGACCCATACTAAGAATACTGTCATTATCATTGTGGAATATCAAAAACAGACGTTGATGCCACCAGTGTGAGATTCAACCGTTTTGAACGGATTAAACGGATTTTTTTTGCGTGTAACTAGTGTTTTTTTAGATTTGTGTAACTCAGGGCTTAGATACTGTGCATGCTGTTTGTTAGATATAGGAAAGCTAACTGAATTTCTAAGTAATTTTAATTAATCCTCGGCATCGGCTACTCGAGTGTTGTAGATTTTTAATTTCAAACAGACACATGTTATCAGGAAGAAAATGTAGCATCTTCAGTCGCTCTTTAAGAAGCAGACTTCAGATTTGGTCATCGTCAGCGTATCAATGACACAAATAACAATAGAGATCGATGATTAAAAGGTGATCATTCTTGTATCTACTCACCATTCGACTTCTTCCTCGATAACGTCTTCCATTGTTCGTTTCGGCACATTAAATGGCAGATTAAGCAAATTATCTTGTAGGCACTTGACTCGGGTTTCTTTTATCGATGTTTTCGGTTATTCGCTGCATCTTTCATCTGTATCGGGCTGCGTATGAGCCGAGATAATGATTTTATCTTGCAAGGCGGCTGAATGTCTCACATAGCTTACTGATGGCGTCATTGATTGTCGCTTCCTTCCTATGAACATTATTTTCTTGCCTATTAACTAAATTAGAGGTATTAATTTTCAGATTTCACATTTTCACATAGGAAATATTAAGATTTACCCTTGAGTCTATATTACAAATTTCTCAGGATAATTTTAGTTTTTAAGTCATTTTAAGTTAATGTATTATTATAAAATTTATTCTCTAATAAATGCTTTAATCATCTCAGGATAAAATTTAATACAGTTCTGAGTTATTCCTAGTGTATTGCATCGTTACTTGTTGCAATCGAAAAGTTCACGCTACATTAAAATAAATCAAATTATTGTAGACATCTTATCAAGAGATTCATAGAAGCTTTTAGTGCTTGCTGTCATTTTTTTTTTTGTTGTAGACACGTCCTATTATTATTGTTTAATATTAGGTACCTAGCTATACAATCCTTTGTATGAATTATGCAGATACTTACATTCATTTATTCTGTGCATTATTCTTGTACTCGTATGTTAACCATGTCTTTTATGTAAAAAAATCGTCTAAGATAATTTGTAGAAAGCATTTCTCATAATGAAGAATAATTTTCACAGTTAAAAAATCTGTTGGTATTGATTCTGCATGATGAAGCTGGTAACTAAGTGAATTCCACTGTACATTAGTACCATATGGCATATACCTAGATACCTACCTACACAGTAATGAAATAATTATATGTCTGTTTAGTTAATGCAGGTAATTAGCGTTGTATTGTTGCTGGATATTGGCTCGTGACAAAGGACGACGTGTTAATAGTGCCATCACGATCTCCAGTCAATATTCGGTTCTGTTAATGTCCTTCTTAATACTTATTTAAACAACATACACTCATAATAATAACTATAATAATATTTCAGATTGTGTCTTATGTGTTTTGCTGTTTTAGAGTTTTAAAACCATTCAAAATGTGGATCATTTAAAATATTTGTATTTTAGGTCCACAAATTTTACATCATTGACACCACGTCAAACCCTGATAAATTGATGAGTGGTTTCAAAAATAAATAAATAATCCCGTAAATAGGTATAAAGTTGTTTATTTTTATTCGTAACATTATCATTGTGACTGATTCGGCACTATACATTTAAATAGATAGGTTTATTCTTGAAACTGTTTTTCCAGATTTCGAAGAGACAGATGGTGGAGTGGAATCGGTAGAAGATCGCTAGCGGCATGGATACGTGGGTGATGATCGTCCACGCCCAAGGTCCGTAGAAGTCAAGGTGTGCTGGCCTGAACTCTGCTCGATTCTGAAAACGAGATATAAAGTTAGTTCGTTCGTTCGTTTCAGCTGAAAGACGTCCACTGCTGGACAAAGACCTCCCCCAAGGATTTCCACAAAGACCGGTTAGGCGCCGCTCGCATAAAAAGTGATTTAAAAATTTTCTTTTCACGAACCTTGAGTTATAATATGAGTTTTTTTACTCAAAGTACACTTATTTTTACATACGGACCTTTCAAGGTATACGTAAATATTTGAAAATGTTAGCTCTTGATTAAATGGCTGTATGTAGAATGTATTTAATTCTAGAGTCAATTTAATTAGCTTTAGCAGTTTATTGGCCCGGGCAGTGGGCAGCCACAAAAACATTTGCTCGCTCCGGGCTGCAGGCAATAGGTTCGGCTGCGACCACTAAACCGGTCGGTCGTGGTCGTGCATACAGTTGCAAAAGTGGTCATTAGAATAATGCAATATTGGCTTAGTTAACACCAGAATAAATCTGTAGGCAATTCAGTCGTAGTAACTTTGGGATTTAATTTCTATGAAGACTAAATAAATAATAATGTAGAAAGATGTATTCTCTTGAATAACCATACGTGTAATAAATGGTTTAGTCTGATTGAACTTTTTTTTAGAAAATTGTAACTATTAACAACAGTTACTTCGAATTTTGTCTTATTTATGGATGTAACATTTAAATAATTAAATAGAATCGTAATTTTTCCCCTTACATTTTGATACAAACATGTTTAAATTTTAATGCTTATTACCTTCTCAAGAGTGTTGATGGTCCACATGGCCATGTTGGCGACGAGCAAGAATGTGACCAGCTGGCGGCCCGGCTTCTCCCGCCGCTGCTCGGAGGAGCTGCAGCGGCGCCACCACGCGTCGATGATGAACAGAGACTGCAGGATTGTCTGGAAACACATATTTATGAGTATACAGGGAGATTTTGTAATCAGTGTCCAAAAGCTCTATAGAAATTTTTTATTATTTTTAATGGTGGTATTTTTAGCAATTATTGAAAATCTAATTCGCGGGTGCCCGTATCTTAATTTTTAAAAAGGGCTTATTTTCGCGCACCATTGTGTCTATTAAGCTTTGAAGTTAACTGTGTAGGTATACGTATTTTTCTATGAACGAAGCAAATTATCCACGTGTCCCAATTTTTGAAACCGCGCGCAGCGGGTAAAAATAATTAAATATGATGATAAAAAAGTTTTTTTTACATAAATCCATTATGTTACTGATTCTGAGTTTGACTGGAAAGTTCGGTTTCCGTTCGGCAAAACTGAAATTAGAACAGACAATGACAGTGGCATGAAAGTTGGTCACCTCGCTCGTTCGATTCAGCCAAATGTCGTCTACTGCTGGACGGTCACTTTCTTTTATAATTCTAAAATTTGTATAAAATTGGTCATCATCATTTCAGCCACAAGACGTCCACTGCTAAGCAAAGGCCTCCTCCAATAATTTCCACATCGCCTGGTTGGTAGCGACCTGCATCCAGCGCCTTCCTTTATGAAGTCATCGGTCCACCTTGTAAAAATTACATTTCTTATTTCTAACAAAGACGTTTGCGTCTTTGTTAGAAATGTTTATACTGAAAAATGAGATTGTTCTTACCTGAATAAAAGATAAGAACTCAGCGAAAAATCCAGTAAGGCCGCCGCTGTTACTCTTGCGCAGCGTGTGGTGGCTGCCGATGAGGCTGAACATGCAGTATACGAACATGCCCGTCTGCGCCAGGATCAGCAGCGACGTGTCCAAGCCCAACACGGCTGGAACCAAACCACCATTTTAAAAACTTACAGAAAACAAGTGAAAGTCGGCACGATCGTCAATTGTTTTACTTTTTACGAACTTCTAACGCGCATTTGTTTTATTCTCATAAGATTATGGACCTTACCGCTGGAATTAAACCACTATTTAAAAAACTTATTTATAGAAAACAAGTGAAAAGAGTTGTCGGTACGAACTACGATCGTCAGTTGATTTATTTTTTATGAACTTCTAACGGGCATTTGTTTTATTCTCATAAGATTATGGACCTCTTTCACTACACGCTGGTAGCCCTTGAAGTGCCAGCGAATAGAGAAAATAAAAATCCACCAATCATGCAGCATTTGGACCTCCCGTCTACGTATTGCCATCTGGCGGATTTTTCAATCGCGAAAACCCTCATTGTTACCGCGGTCTTATGAGACCACATATGGTTCCCAACATCGACAACAAACATTGTTATTACAGGTCTCAGATAAAGAGCTGGTAGATAAAGTAACCGGTAACTATTCGAAGACCCATTAGAAGCCAGATATATCTGAAACTCTACAACAAGGAAACTGTAAAACTTGCCCTAAGACTTGAAAAAAGCAACATACTAAACCAGATCAACAAAAATGTTTTGTAACTTCTATTTTGTCTTTGGAAATACCTTTTATGTACAATAAATATTGCTTTTATATACATTACCTTGTGCTTTTCTTTTGTATGGCAAAACCCTCATTTGTTTTAAGGCCACTAGTACTGTTAGTATTGTGATCGAATACAATATCAATTCACAAATATTAACTTCAAATATGGCGTCCTGAAAAAATATCACAGTTAGTTAACTAAATGTCTTAAAATATTTGTTTGCCAAGTAATTAAATAAGTATTTGTGTACAGGTGACGGCACATAAAGCTACAAACAAAAACATTTTCTGTTTGTAAAATTAGGGCGAATTTGCAAAATATGTACCTATATGTGTAGTCTGATGTGCTGTCGTCTGATACACGAGGCTTTTTTGACAAATATTAGAGTGCATATAAAATCTTACATTAATCGTAGCTGGGCTACTGGCGAGGACGAAGAACATGATAAGGGATATGATAGTCAGCACGATGATGAGGATTCCACCGAAAAGGCCACGGTGAGCGTGGGAGCAGTCCACTGAAAAGTGGTGCAGCGCCGCGCGGCTGCCCTGCGGCGTGCCTACCCCTAGCATGCCCGCTGAAAAAATAATTATCATCATCATCATGTCATTTAGTTTTTACTACAGAAGAATGATCCTTTGTAATATACAGGATATCCCAAAAAGTAGTGTCAAGCCGAAGCCCAGAGGTAGCCCTAGTGATGCTCTACCTCCGGCTTGACACTACTTTTTAGGACATCCTGTATACCAGAGGCAAATGGAGGATTTGAAAAAACAATAACAATAATACCTATTTTGTGTTATGGGTTTGTATAAAATTGACGTAGTTACTCGCGTCTTGTTATTCACAAAATATAGTCCTTAGCCAAAATTTAAACATTGCGAGATGTAGATCTAATGTCATGTAAAAGAACAACCTGAGTTCTGATGAGAATAAAGATTATTTAAAACAAATACGCTGGGGTACGAGACTTTCGCAGTGAAGTGTGTGTAGATAAGTCCAATTAAAGGTAAGTAATTAGGTATAATTGGACCACTAATATTTACAATTTACTGTGAAAATAATATTACTGACTCTATTATTTCGCCTATCATCGCTATGATAGAATTATGTAGCTTATCCCTCTACCCATAAATCACAGTAGTTGCGATTACTGTCATAACAGATTCATAACTTTAATAGTAATATACTTATTACGCTTCAGTTCTCGGTCGTGTTGGTTATTAAAATATAGGACGCGGGATTGGAACACTCCACAAAAAAAACTGGTAATATTTTCCAAGAACGTTGTACGTTTATTTTGTATTTTCAAGCCGTAATCTCGACAAATACCTAATTAAAGGCCTGATAAAATAATATCGGGAAATAAGTGTAAAAGTTGCCAAATTAAGACCTTCTTACCAAACTGTTGAAGTATTTTCTCCGGGGTAACGGAGTTATTTCGTGACTTGTTTTTAACATAATTGAATTTCTTTTCAAAGTCCTCCGGGGTGCATTTGACCTACAAATTAAAGAAGTGTGATGATAAGGCTTCTTTGATCTATATTAACGGTATATTGCGACGTTCCTTAAAAAGAAAATATTATCACTTTTTAGAGCTTGAGTTGACTAGCAACATTAAAAAATATAATAACAATCGTACCTCTTTCCACATCTCGTAAAGTATGACAGCGCAGATCAGCGAGTATTCAATAGTACATGGAAAAAGGAAGGGAGACGCGTTTTGTAGCAGGGTTCCCATCATGTTGGACCTTCTGCATGACTCGGTAATATTTCCATGTGTGTTATTATGTGTAGACATGATCGAATGTTCTAGATGGTGAATTTCGTGTTTCGTCTCTTCAACTAGCACGTACAACCATTCGCAGAGGTTTGTTGCGATCATGTGCATGAAGCCGAACCTCTGTATGAGCTTGTAGGCGCCGGTCTCGATGTCTTTATTAGTGAGGAATATGAACTGCATTTGTGCCAGGGTGAGGGCCATACGCAGCGCGGGCGTGGCCGCCGACATTACCGACCGGCAGTTGTCAGTCATTTCAAAGTACTCCCCGAACTCTAATCCACTGTGAACCATAGAGCCGATTCCAAAAGCTGTGAAACAAGTTTACGAGTAACATTAGAGATGAAATAGCATTCGGATTATGGCCTGAAATCTGTCAGTGACTCACCAATAGCTCCAAGCCTGAGGTAGAAACTGCCGTATCTAGCAATAGTTTCTTTTGGTTTAGGTTTTTCATTAGGAGTAGTTTTACCATTTTTATCCTCTTTTTCAGGGTCATCTGAAAATAGTCTATAATAATATAATGTGGCTTTTTTCTCTAACTCTAATGATTTCATTTATTTTGTAATTAGTCTACCTATGCATGTGTGAGTGTGGGGACAGAGGAAATTTTCCGGTACATTTATACGAATGGCTGAAAACGTTAGTGGAATGAAAACTAAAGAAGGCAATATTCTTCGCGTTTGTAATTATGCAAACAAGATGTGATTTTAATGTCGCATTTTGTTAGGCAAATGTGGCTAATCACCCAAAGTGTGTATACTTTTTATTGTCTTAGCTCTACCAAATTAGATAAATATTTTACCGTATGTATGAATAATCATGCTGACGGCCTTCTGTCTCATAATATTTGCATACTGGAATATAACGAATAAAACGGATACCAAGTACAGGTATAAATAGAAACCCTGAAAAGAAGTAAATTATTGTAAATTACTTAACATAATTTTTAGAATTTATATACTTATTAAATGATTCTTTTTGATAATTATTTTCATACCTGATAATAAGCTTCTGGGACTCCATTTGCGATGACTTCAGTCACGGGGAAGGCTAATCCTAATACCACTATTAGTTTGGCGTACAAAGCCGATAGCGCTTTGCTTAAAGCCTCACTGTAACAAGCAACAATAACATACTTATAAATAAAACTCATAGAATTAAAATGAGCAGGGAAATATCGCTACAAAACCCTATGAAATATCTGTATCGTCGGAAAGCGATATCGGATGTTCCCTGCCAACTTGCTCTGTTTCGAATTTAACTAGATAACTCGAATGCGGCCTCGCGATATGGCAGCGACATAAACATTTTCACATTTTAATTACGTTCATCGGAGGCGTATGTTGAATGCTCCGCGCGGCATTGTCAACCTGTCTCTCTATTAACAAATAAAGGGTGTGCTTTTGAATGGTGTTGACGCGTAGTAGGCGCCGCATTGTGCCCGCTATAATGCGGACGGCATGACGTTATCCGACTGAATATTATTTACCTCTAAATAGGCCTCTGCTCCCGTATTCAGCACTAAGTGCCCGACCATCTCATTGATGTTCTGTTTAAGTGAATTCGGTTTGTAAGGGGATTGCCGACGAAGATATGTTATAGAGATTTTAGATCTGATGGAAATGATAACAAAGTCTTTAACATGAAATAATGTTGACCTAATTGGTATATGTCAATCGATTAGAGTGCTTTTTTACCCAAGTTCTATGGTACATTTATTATGTTTTTAAAATAAATATTAGTTTCATGATATTTTAACCCAACATCGACAACTGGTTATATGGAAGTCATTGGGGGAAATGAGGAGATCCGTAGGAGAACCAAAGTAACCGACATAGCTCGCAGAATTGCTAAAATCAAGTGGCAGTGGGCGGGGCACAAAGCTCGTAGAGACGATGGCCGTTGGGGCAGGAAAGTTCTCGAGTGGCAACCACGGGCTGGAAGACGTAGCGTGGGCAGGCCTCCTACTAGGTGGACCGACGATCTGGTAAAGGTCGCGGGAAGAGCCTGGATGCGGGCAGCGCAGGACCGTTCATTGTGGAAAACCTTGGGGGAGGCCTTTGTCCAGCAGTGGACGTCATTTGGCTGAAACAACAACAACAACAACATTGGGGGAGGCCTATTTTTCAGCAGTGGACGTCCTACTATGGCTGAAATGATTATGATGATTATATTTTTACCCAACCCATGTTTTCATGTTAAAAATGATCAATTTTCGAGTAGGAGTCACTTGTAGTTGTTATAAGGGCTTTTGTAATTGTTTTAATTTGGGTTAGCAAAATAGAGGGCAAAAGCCTGCGGTCGCGGTGGCCCTGACACAAGATGTCCGGTGTCGGCGTCGCGAGCAGCTGGCACCTACTTTTGATTTATGTGGCAGTGCGACAAGTCGCCATCACAGTTTTGTAAAAAGGATTACGAGGTGACACTGACGGGTAGTGTTTTAACAATTTTATTTTAACGTCATTGTTACAAAAGATATTGATATCGGTATTATCAACAGATATTATGTTTTTTTTTCAACAGCAAACGATCGTAAATTCAATGTACGAGTATAATGTTGGTTTTTTTTTTCATTTATGTGTTCTGCACCTCTGCATCTGTGGAGAGATTTTTAAAACGAATATGTACGCCTCCGTGATCATGGCGCTTGCAATAGTGCGGAAATATCGGAGACTCGAAATTAAGGTACATGGTAGCAATTTAACTGACCAAGGTTACGCCAAATGCCAATATACTTTAGGACCTTTTGTAAATAAGACTGATACGTTCGGGAGATGACGATTATACGAGATTGAAATGCACATAAGAGTCTCATTGATCTCAATATCAACACTATTCCACGTAGCAATCAAAGGTATGGCTGTGTAATCTGGTACTCACTGCCCCAATATGTCGGCGGCTGAAGGCGGTTGCTCGTGAATGGTGGAGGCGACGGAGGCGCGCGAGTGCGGCGCCAGCTCTGAGAGGAACCGGCGCTGAGTCGCCGCACATAGCGCCAGCGCTTGCGATGGCCGGCGAAACGCTGCGATTATGGCCGATGGTCGCCTGTTGAAAATACAAACCTAAGTTATCCATGATTGATGAAGAATTTATAAACTTCTGCTTCCTCGAAAATCGAAATTTCTGATTCCAACAATTTTACTAATTCTAGTCGTCGTCATCATCATCAGTAAAGGACTCAGAGAGTATTAAACTTGATTGCAGATAATACACAATTATTATTATAATTATGAAAATCCGAGTATAACTGTAACTTACAGAAAAACATAAATTCTCAACCAAAATAAAAATATTGGTAGAATTTTACTAACTTAATTTTGAAATTAGAACTCTACAAAAATCAAAACAAAAGATAAACCAGAGTGAGCCGCCGCACAGTGTTTTATTTTGGCCGGAGTCCTGCCAGCAGGACTTAAAGTACTTCCGGTAGGACGCAAAATTAAAAGATCACAGTTTCGTAAGTATACATTGTACAAATTTCAAATTTACACGAAAAAATAGAGTGTTTCTCTCTCTTTCACCCAATAGTGCCCAAGATCGAAAAACGCGACTAACCGTTAGTCGGAACCCGATGGCGCACGAGTATACACGGGGGCAGCGCGTTCGCGCTCGCGCGACACATTTTGACGCGCCGGGCGTGGAGCCGGCAACATTTTGGCGATAATATTATAATGAATGTGAAGTATTCCAGCCTAATCAAACATTTATAATTTATTTCTTGTTTTTGTTTTTAATTTGTAGTGTATTTGTAAGTGATAGGTGTAATTTCTAATACAAAGTGACGTACCAAAGTAATTAATTTAGAGTTCCTTATTATAGTTCCTATTAGTTAAGTTGAAAGAAGATAAACAAGTTTATAATATATTTAGATAAGTAAAATACTGGTTAAACAAAATGATTCTACGACATGACTTTTTATTTAATAAACACTAACCAAGTGTTTACTACTTCTGGTGAGGATGAGTTCAAATTTGAAGGTCACCGTACTGCTGGAAGGACCAGCAAGCAAACACGTACAAATTGCGTACTGCGGGCAGGACTTGCGATAATCTTCTGGCAGGACGTTTAGAACAAAAGACCAGTCCTTCCAGAAGAGCTTCCAGCAGGACAAAGCACCGGGCGATCTATCATTAATTCAATCGTTAGATATTACTATTATGTATAAAATTGATGAAGAAACTAGTAGTTGTATTTGTTTAGTTTCGAAGAAATATTCGATTTTGTGATTTTATAAAAAAAAACAGTTTTAGAAGCATATTTTCTAAAAAAATTACATTAAGTCAGAATTTTGTAAATAAATTTACCTATCACTATAACGTCTACCTTTATGCAAAAATAAATGGTTATTGCTGCAGTAATTTAGGAATTATTTAATAATTTATAATTTTCAGAAAACATTTTTTTCTCCGTTACACTAGAAAATTGGCAGCTATATTTACTTTATATTGATGCATGGTATAATTATCTATAATACCTGAAAATATTACTTGCCTATCCCGTGGGAGTTCGAAGATATTTTAATTTCTATGAGTTTATAAAATTTATATGTAAATAGGGTTGTCATCTGAATATTTTTTAGTTTTTTAAATGCCGTCCGTAACAATACGGTTTTAATGCCTTTGTTAGATAACTATTGAAATTCATTGCTTTTACCATTATTAATTTGTCTGGTCGAGTTTGATAATTATAGAGTTGGCCCTGTGGCGGCTTATTGGAAATCCTATCGTTTTCGAAACATCGATATATATGTTGCAGTCAAAACTCATAATCGATCAAAACCACTTTTGACTGCAAATTTCAGTTAATAGTGGTTTTGACCGATGGCCTTAGTCAATATTACTTTTGACAAATTTTTCTAGTCGTATCATCGAACTTCCACGGGATAGGCAAGTAATATTTTCAGGTATTAAAGATAATTATATCATGCATCAATATAAAGTAAATATAGCTGCCAATTTTCTAGTGTAACGGAGAAAAAAATGTTTTCTGAAAATCATAAATCTATACTTATAATAAATCTGTAGAGAGGTCAATTCTGTACATTAAATATATTTTCAAAATAACTATCAGGGGGTGATTAGTGATCGATACTGATACCAAAAATGCAATCAGTTAAATTTTTGTCTGTCTGTCTATCTGTCTGTCTGTCTGTCTGTCTGTCTGTCTGTATGTTCCTTATAGAAACAAAAACTACTCGACGGATTTTAACGAAACTTGGTACAATTATTCTTCATACTCCTGGGCAGGTTATAGGATACTTAGGAATTCCCACGGGAATGGGAATTAGCGGGAAAATCGTTTTGTATGAAAAATCTGAACCGCTTAAGTTAGACGCTTGAAATTCGGCATGTAGGTACCTTAGTAAACTTAAAGCTTAGTTACAACATGATATTGCAAAATTCCCACGGGAACGGGAGTTAGCGGGAAAAAACATTTGTATGAAAAATCTAAACCGCTTAAGTTAGACGCTTGAAATTTGGCATGCAGGTACCTTAGTAAACTTGAAGCTTAGTTACAACAGGATATTGCAAAATTCCCACGGGAACGGGAGTTAGCGGAAAAAAACATTTGTATGAAAAAATCTAAACCGCGTAAGATAGATGAAGGGGGTAAAACAGGATCCACGCGTACGAAGTCGCGGGCGGCCGCTAGTTATTAAATAATTCCTAAATTACTGCAGTAATAACCATTTATTTCTGCATAAAGGTAGACGTTATAGTGATAGGTAAATTTATTTAACAAAATTCTGCCTTAATGTAATTTTTTTAGAAAATATGCTTCTAAAACTGTTTTTTTTATAAAATCACAATATCGAATATTTCTTCGAAACTAAGCAAATACAACTACTAGTTCCTTCATCAATTTTATACATAATAGTAATATCTAACGATTGAATTAATAAAACAGGGATGTCCGCTTCTAAGGGAAAATAAAAGACTGTGCGCCGTACTTTAATAACTTTTTTTTATAAATGGCCAGTAATAAAAAAAAGGTTTTAATTATTGTCATTTGGAACGAGACTACTTTTTTGTTGTGCATGTCAAGTCTATCAGCCAGTAGGTATCATAAGATTCGTTCGGATAAAAATGATGAACCGAAACTTTTTTTAAAAACTGCCGTGTTACCTGGTGTTGAGGTTGGCAGCGAGCTTGGCCTCCATGTCAGAGGACATCCTGCGGCTGCTGGGCTGTGAATGGGCGTGCTGCACCAGCGGGTCTGTTGGCGTGCCCAGCATGGCCCGGGTCCGCTCCCGGAGCATCTGTACGTCTGAGTATGACGATTCATCACTGTTAAAGAAAACAACGTTATATAGAACCTTGAGATAAGACAGATTTTTATAAGAAATATACAACGAAACTAACTTTGTCCGTCTGACTGTTACCTTTTCACGCCTACGCCCACGAATTTTGATATAAAAATAGACTTGACCTTGGAGAAAGAGTACCTTTAGACAGTACCTACATATTTGAATTAATTAGTGCCCCATAAAAAGTTGTTTTAAAATAGGGAAATTAATTCAAATATAGCTATGTATTATACACAAATCACAATGATTTATTGTAATAGACGGAAATCTACACGGTTGAAGCTGTGGACAAAAGCTTGAATGAGAGAGTTTTTTCAAAACTTGACAAATCAAAGGAATGTTCGCCGATATTGGGTGTCAATATACCAGGCGGGAACTAAATCTGGCGTAAGTATCTACACAAAGCAGTCTATCAAACATCATAAATATTTTCGAAGCTGCCTCCGCGCCAAAATCCCTCTTTGTGTATGCGCGTCATACTGCCATGCGCCATGGTGCCACACAGCATGCTCTGATTTTGAATTTTCTAGAAAAACTTGGGAAAATAGGTGCCTATGTAAATGATTTGTATTTGATAAAACATACAACTAACTGTATGAACGCCATGCCAGTGCCTGTACAGTTACAGAAGAGTACAAAACATTTTATTATTGAGTTGAGGTCATTAAGCGAACTGTTGTTGGACTGTTGTTGGCTAGATAAAATATTTGTGATGCTCAGTCTGCAGTTTTCTCATATTTTTCCGGGAAGAATGATGATGGAAAAAGGTTAGAAGTTTAACAGATTTTCTTCCTAACATTTTCATTCACGACTAAAGTTATTTACGAGTAGGTTAAAGGCTATTTTTGCTATAAAAAGTAGTCAGTAAAAAGTTAATCTAAATGTCCATGATGCAAATAAAAATGCGGCAGCTACGGATACCCATTTCTGTAAACTAAACAAACGCTTGAAGGAATAGCGCATACTGTAGTATCAATATTTAAAGAAATGTCTGTACCGGCGTCGCATTGAACTATTTGGACTACATGGCTTTGAGCAAAATCTCCAAAATGTGCATACTTTTCCAGGAAACGTCTTCCTAAGCTTTCTATGCACACGAACCTATCATGAATAACAAAATATAACAATATTCCCACTACGGTGGAAGTGTCTGCTAGTATTTTATATGAACACTATGTGCTGATTCTTTTCTGATATTCAGGTCTCTAAAAGACTATACATAATACATAATATGCTTAAGTCTCGCAGAGTACAAAGAATGTACTTATTCTCTAGTGCATTAACTAAATTACAATAATCGATAAAATTAATCCGAAAGAAAGTAACATCATAAAATAATAAGCGGGAGTGATTCCGTATTAAGATAAGATAAAGCTGAACTAACGGTTACAATGGAGAAAAATTCAAAAGAAACTTTAATTAAATGGTTAGAATCCACAGTGCGCTTTGTTTATGACGACTGCCGACCGTCTGCCGAGCGACGTTATTCATTTCCTATGCTTTCAAAAAAATAGCTTCATTTATAACCAGCATCTGATTTTACAGCGGTAAAACCATTGATTTTAGCGGTGGAAATATCAGCGCAACAAAGATTATTCTATTTGAAATATGTCTATTGGTTTGTGGAACTATGTCGGTATGAAAGCTGTTGTTTAAAAACATGTTTAAGATATTGGATAATTGGAAACGGATTTTTACTACTTATTTTCTCATCATTTTTTACTGATAGCCGCAAAATAAGCTGTAGATCCTTGCTACACAGGAGTTGCAGCAGTGAGAACGAGAGGTGGGAAATAATAGTCTTTTTGATAGCCGGAAAATGTGTAGTAACATTCCTAATCACTATTAAAATTAGAGATGCACTCAGGCTTTTGAGTGAGTGTTAGTATTATGTCAGTGCTGAAGCACAAAATTAGCATGTTACTTTTTTGTAAAAAAATAATGATAAAAATACCTGTCATTGTCGTTATCATTTTCTTCGTGCACGGTGTCCATATCGGTGACGGTGACGCTCGGGCGCGGGTCGGCCGACTCGCTCAGCGGACGCTTGGCCGGACTCATCTGAACAGAATAATTCCAACATTATCTCCACAGCTTAACAGCCGCACGTGTCTTTTCAATTCTCAATCGGTTTTCGGCAGACAAAGAATGGTTCGTGTTGTCAACTAGAAAACTGCGTCAGAGTGACCTCATTTGGTTATGATGCTAGCTTACTAAAGATAGCGCGTGCCCTTTACATGCCTTTAATTAATACTGTGTCAGTAAATTTAAGGGTTCTCATTTGTCTGTATAATATGGACGTCCAGGAAAACTCAAGCCGATGCAATATTTAGAAAACATGATTAATTTTCACTGTACACACCTGTCTATTTCTAAATGTTTGCTAGATGTTTTTCTGGAATATTTTTTCATTGCTCTAATCTCCGACACGACACTGGGGCGCTGAACGCAAGTAATTGAATTGACACGGTACATTCAAATTGCTTCCAGTAAAAGTTCTTTTCTTATTTTTCCATTTTCGCGTCGTGGAGGCACATTTGGTCACGAGACATGCGTGCGGCAGGGCGAGCCGCGCCAAATGATAAGTTTTTGTTTACATGAGGTGTCGGCGTCTTCATGAAGTTCTGTTACGTAGGCACCTTAATCCCCTTAATGTCTGCGATCATTCCGATAGGATTATACCACTAGAGAGCTGTTCGGCGCTGTCAGAGAGCTGATTACGCCTGACAAATATGTGTTGAGCATTGTATGAACTATGAAATGTAGCGACAACGTTATTATTGTAAGTTGATGTTATGGATTATTATTTTATGATTAATATTTTTAAACGAATATATTGAGAGAAAGCGAATGAAAGTTATATTTTAAAACATACAGAATTTTTTTGTTTAATGAAACTACCTACTAATATGTGGTTTTTAATACATCCCTTTTCTACTAATTACTAGATGCTGATGTGTAATCAATGTTTTTAGCAATTTAATTTTTTTTTATTGATTTTTAATTTGAATTTTAAAACGACTGTATTTTATTATAATTAAAATGTACTTACCTATAATCCAGCCAGTAAACGAAGAATAAAGTTTATATTTTAAATTTATTTTAATGTAGTATCAGAACGAGTAAGATTAAAGAGTAGGTAAGTTTGTTTGTCTTGCGTCCGCCGGGCGGTCCGCTCTAAGGTTGTTAGGTTGTTGAATAAGTTTCTGAATTAAGAGAACTGAAAGTTTTCTCATCTCGAGATTACAGCAAAGTGTTTACCGTTTGGCTGTAGGATGCGGCCGCGACGCCGCCGTAGTCATGTCTCGCGACACTCGGCTCGATATCGGCTAATTTATTTTTTAATTGCTTTTTGTCGCTACAAACAATTACTGTGGATGAGATTTGTCTCTATTTTTAGCACTTTCAGTTCAAGCCACGATTGACGTCGTAAGTTTCATACTTTGTCATGTAAATTAATTTTATTGCTACACTTAAACACAATTTGTTTTTAACTAAGACAATAGCATAGTCGTGCATATTTTGTTTTGAAAAATAACCATAGTTTTACTAATTATGTATTAAGATCGAAATTCTTTATTTTGTTAATGACACTGTAAGGCTAAATGGCAAGGGATGTAGGTACTCGTATTCAAAACCTTCAAGAAGTGCTTAAAAATATACAGACAAGAGTATCGATGTCAGCACATCCTTAGCGATAACATTCTTGGTATTTTCATAAAATATTTGCGTGAATGTATCGCACCTGATGCCACGATTTGCTGCACTCTAAACTTTCTGTGATTTACGCAAACAAAAAGCCGTTCGCAAATACTGAGGTGGCAACTTTTGACTGCGCCTTACCTGGCCTTAAAAGGTTGTCTAAGAAGGACTTACTTATGAATTGTTCTTGTTGTATTATAGAAAGAAAGGCTTCCCAATGATAACTCATTGTAGATCAATCTTATTGGGACATTTGGTTTTACATAATAAAAGTTTATTAGCCTACTACTATAGGTAACGCAAAAACAGACGTTATGTTGAACTGAAAAAGTATAATTAGGTATGTACTATGTATACTTTTTAAACAATTTAATATTACCTATTCTCTTATTTAACATTTCACAATAAATACTTTGCTTACAATTTAAGTCTAAAGAATTTAAGTTTGAATTTGAATTGCACTGAGACGCCTCTTGGTCTATCGATTATGCGTTCATTAAACACGACACCTACTATGTGCAAGTCTTGCATATCTCTACATGTGGTGTATCACTTTTACATTTAACATGTTTTATATTGTAGGCACTAGAGCGATATAGAGTCATGTAGGTAGCACTCTGCTCGTTAGCGCCCAGCGTCGTGATCTGTCTCAATTTGCATCTGTTACGCGCACAAACAATCTAATAAATGCTTACACATTGGTATTCATAAAACTGCGCATAAAGTCAATTTACATTTTCAGAGCGAATGATAGCATTTACTTGAATTGTTTGATCTTGCAACATTTCTATTGATTGCCTCGTAATACATCTTCTGTATAGGAAAGTCGCAATCGACTAGAGCTGCGGTATTTTTTGTTTTAGAACAGGTAACGCAGCACATCATCGGAAACTAGTAGCTGATTATAATTTCAATATAAAAAGACATTAAAAAGTACGTTTCTGAATGAAAAACAAATAGAATCACATTAATTTGTAGATTTCAGTACCAGAGATTAGCTCTACTTACAAAACTCTACTAAGAAACAATAGGTACATTTTTATTTGTAAAACGAATTTTTAGAGAAAATTCAATCAACCAAAACAACTATAAATTATAAAGTGCGAGTATCAACAAGAGGATATGCACTGAAGTATCTGTGCGCGCATTATATCGGCATATGTTTGATAAAGGTCTTAGTTCGATAACAGAATCTTAAAAAGCAGCACAAAGCACATAGAAACCGTCCCAGTTTCCATGAAAGTCTTAAGTTAGTACTACTTATATACGAGTAAGTACGTACTCCTTGTAAATACTAGGAAAATATGAGATGTATTTTTACTGTTACAAAAAAAAAACGCAAATAAATGTTTCTGGAAGAGCACTTTTCAAATGGCCCTATCGCTAGATAGCGATCTCTTCCAGACAACCCAGGGAGATTAAGAACTCTACACTAAGTAAGGATACTTATACTTAGGAAAGTATGCTCTAAAAAAATGTTCAAGTTATAATGATAAAGAAAATCCCATCAAAAACAATACTTGTCAAAAAAACCAAGTCTCGCAACTCAGTTGTTCTACGGTAAAAAGTTGTGAGATCCATGTAATACCAAGTCCAGGCCAGGAAATCTTTAACGTTTTACATAAATTATTGACTTGGCCATCGCACTAAATAATTTAATTTACACGTGTTTTCATGCGATGGCCAAGTCAATATTTTATGTAAAACGTTAAAGATTTCCTGGCCTGGACTTGGTATTACATGGATCTCACAACTTTTTACCGTAGAACAACTGAGTTGCGAGACTTGGTTTTTTTGACAAGTATTGTTTTTGATGGGATCTCATTTCTTTTTGTATTTTGTAGACAGCAGTTATGTATCTAGAAAACTGGACCGAAATTGAAAAATTTTACTCGACTTGGCGGTTGCACTACCGTGCCCCCAAATATTTTAGTTTTTCCTTGATTCATACACCAAACACTACTTATATTCCAAATTTGAAGCTTCTAGGTCTGCTAGAAGTGCCTTAGAGTTTTGATGATCGGTGAGTCAGTCAGTGAGTCAGTCAGTGAGTCAGTGAGTGACAAAATTAAGTAACTTTGACCCGTTATAATTCTTAAACTACTGGTTCAAATTGAATGAAATTTTAAATATACCGTGTCTTTACAATTCCTGCATAGCTAATGAAAATTCAGCCTTCTAGTTTTATCCACAACGAAGTTACAGGCGGTCGAAAATGGCCTGAATTGCTTCGAGAAAAGGATGGTACGGCCGTGCCGCTTTTTTGCTCGACCGTGCCCCCAGATAAACCGAACAAATAGGTACACACCTACATTTCGATAACTTAATTGCAGTATTATTTTAAGGTTTAGATATTATGCATAATTATGTTTTGTCGTAAAGACAAAAAAAAACATGTGAAATACTTAACTCAAAATGAAAATGTCACTTACTTTGATTCCTTTCTTGTGCGAGCACTGTAAAATATTTTCTCAAGTCCACTCAGGTGGTCACCATCGTGTCTCCCCGGCACTGATTTTTGGCGTTCGCACCTCGGATCTGTCAGACCACTCGATAATTATGCCTCCAATTTATTCCGCACGACTCCATCACACACGAATCGTGACGTATTTCACGAAAATCAGGAAATAGCTGTAAAACATAGGTAATATAGAGATTTATAAAACACAGTTAAGTGATAGCACTTCGTGTATAAGCTCCAGGCGACGAATAAAGTTATAAAAGTAACTGCACTCTATGAATTTGCAGCCACCATTATCTGTGGCTTTTTGCGGTTCAAAGGAACGTATCGTTTCTCGTTGATCAATTTTATTTCCTCTGCACTTTGTGGAATTTCCTTCATATTAAGTGAAAATTAAAGAAGCTCTTAGGCAGGTAACTAAGCAAAACCCACGCTAATAACTAGCATCCTCTGCGAAGTGCCCAAGCGTCCTGTGTTCAGTTATTAGTTTACGATGCGCCGGGACATACATGTGGAAAACTGCATTATTATTTAATTTCCTGCCGCTGCATGTCAAGTTAACTGGTGAAGCGTGTAAAAAGAACGATTTCCACATGCCATTTTTATGCGATTCAATTTTTGCGTGACAGACGACGTAGTGGTCATCGACGTTGATACGTTGTTTTATTATCGGAAGTAAAATGGAAATGAAATTAAAACGTCTAGATACGTCATGATCTAGAATAAATTTTGTAAGGTAATATCAATAGGTACCTAGTGCCTACTAATATTCTTTAAGTGCAACCTTACAAATAAAAAGTAGTGGAAGTATTTTCATAAGTAGATATTGGCCGGAAGACTATGCGTTAAGTTTAGACAAATAGTTCATCTGTTTTGTTATTAGTGAGTTATAAACATACCTACCTAGTTATAGCCCAGATATGGTTCCAAACATACCTACTTTAACTAATTAAAAAACATTTTTTAAAAGTTATTTACTCCTGAAACTAGTGATAGCAGAAATGGCCTGAAACCCCACCGGTCAAAGAGTCGCAAAGCTGCCGGTTTTTCCGGCGCTCAAAGAGCTTTGCTGTCGACCACAGTGTTTGTGGCGCCAGCGACCTGATTGAAACTCGGCCTGCGCCCCCTTTTGACGGACCTGCACGCTGCACCTTTGTGATTTACATGCACTCGCCTACACGAAGACTCTAATGTAATTGCTACACGAAATAACCTACCAACATAGGCACTAATAATACAAATATTAAAACCTTTCCATATTAAAAATTATCTTATCCTGTGTAGCGCTAGGATAAGCGTTTATCACGCCATTTTATCGATTTTACGCGATAAGCCCATACATTTATCGTATAAAATCATCGATAACATTTTATCACGGAGCGCATCCTATTTGGCTGGAATCTTGTCC